TCACCTCGGTGCTTATTTACATAATTGTGTTTTTATAACATTTCCTGTACTTTTCTGTAAGCTGATGCTGTCCTAATTATAGATTTTTAAGAGAACACTTCATTGTACCCCAAATTATATAGTGCTTTAAAAAGGTACTTTCTTACCCTTTTACCAAATACCTTATAAACTCGTAATTACATAAAACAATTCGAGATACAGAATAGAAACAGCCTGTACTGTTAACAGATGTTGGTATTGTTATATACTTGAGTACATGGCTTTCAAAGATCTGTAATATTTTTCTTGAGTAAAAAGAAAAAAAATGACTCATTATAGTCATAATGTGTCACGGAGACTCCGGATCAAACGGAATGCACATGTTCTATTTTGTGCATTCTGTATAGTTCATTGTAAATGGCCTTGCTTTTGTGGATGTGAAAGTGCCACTTATTCCAGCAAATTGCCTTTGTGGCATATGCACCTACTTGTTAGCTTGCGGGCACTTGGGCCAGGCAGAGGCTGGGCCCCCTTTATCATCGGCACACCTGCATACACGGCACTATGGCGCCACGCTCCAGGGAGGCTGCCGTCATTAACAGACTTGCTCCTTGGGAAACCCACTGAGGACTTCTCAGTGCCCTCCTGCCCATCAGACACCACCTCAGAATTCTTTTTTTTTTTTTTTTTGAGATGGAGTCTCGCTCTGTCACCCAGGCTGGAGTGCAGTGGCACGATCTCGGCTCACTGCAACCACCACCTTCCAGGTTCAAGCGATTCTCTCGCCTCAGTCTCCCAAGTAGCGGATTATAGGCGCTTGCCACCATGCCCGGCTAATTTTTGTATTTTTAGTAGAGACGGGGTTTCGCCATGTTGGCCAGGCTGGTCTCAAACTCCTGACCTCAGGTGATCCGCCTGCCGCGGCCTCCCAGAGTGCTGGGATTACAGGCGTGAGACACCGCGCCCAGCTGACCGCCTCAGAATTCTTAGAAGACTAGGAATGGGGCAGCCTCCCAGATGCTAGCTCTCTTCCCTACATCAGTTTTAGGCCTCTCTTATGATACTAGTGATACAGATTACAAGGTAACCTCAGTGCAACACAAGGGAAGAAATAAATCCTCTCTTTATTGAGTGCTGGGTCTATGTTTAATTTTCTTTTCTTTTCTTTTCTTTTTTTTTTTTTTTTTGAGACGGAGTCTCACACTGTAGCCTGGGCTGGAGTGCAGCTGCGCGATCTCGGCTCCCTGCAACCTCCATCTTCCATGTTCAAGCGGTTCTCCTGCCTCAGCCTCCCGAGTAGCTAGGATTACAGGCACCCGCCACCAGGCCTGGCTAATTTTTTGGATTTTTAGTAGAGACAGGGTTTCACTATGTAGGCCAGGCTGATCTTGAACTCCTGACCTCGTGATCCTCCCGCCTCGGCCTCCCAAAGTGCTGGGATTACGGGTGTGAGCCACCACACTTGGCCTAGTGTTTAATTTTCAATTTAATTTTTGGCATTATTTTTTTTTTTTAAAGTTGCTTATCTTAGGACAGTAGAACTGGAATGAGTCTTGTGTTTCCAATTACAAAAACAAGATGGAACAAAGGATGGGGCTAGATTTTTGTGTTATTGACAGCCCCATATTCTTCCCTCCAGAGATCGTCTTTCGGAAGCAAGCCCGAGATACACACAGACTTACCCATTCCTTCAAAGCTGTTGATGTTAGACTGAAGATGGTTCTTTTCGCTAAGGAAACCCTCCCCATTTTTGCAGGATTTTTGAAAAATGAGTTGCTGAATGGACTTCAGATATTTTTGTTCTTTTGTTTTGTTGGGATTTTCTTCCCACTCCTATTTTTGTTAATTTTTCCCTCAAAAAATGAGATTGCTGCTTACTGCCATTGAGCCTCCTTGTGGCACATTCATTGGTCCAGTAAAAGACTTAACTCCAAGAACCACCTACCAGTAACACAATAAAACCTTGAGTATAGATTGATTCATAAATGGCAGCGGACGAGTGTTGAAAGTGACGCATTATGTTGCTGCAATGTATTGACATTATCAATTGTGTGTCACTAAACAGCGAGGCTAACTGGATGATTTACTCTGTGTTTAACTGCCTTTTCAATTGGAGCAAATGTTGAGGAACTGGGACGCAATATCAGAAACCATATATTTTCTTCTGTTAACACCAGCTTCGCTGAGGCATGTTGGTTTTGGCTGCAGGCTCTAAGGCTCTAGTTTAAATGGTCTCAACAAGTGATTAACGACCAGGAGGTGGGCCTCTACACTGTTTCCACATCTTTTCTCCTTTCTGTTTATGTCGCCTTGATGCTTGGGAGGGGTTGTTGCAGAGTGGTTCATGCTATTTATTGCGCTGACGTTGGTTTCCGTCCTGAGAGTCCTTGATGTTTCTTTTGCGGATTTTGTTTTTAATATTATTTAGCATAATGACCTAAACCATAAACGCTTGCAGTTGTGATACAGGTGTCCTTAGTTCAGCAGTCAGATGAATAATAAGGGCCACTGTGTACAGGGATAGGTGACAGCTGTGGCCCCCAACGAAGAAGCTCTGGACTTTCCCCTCCCAAGTTTCAGTCCTGGTAACTTGAACTAGACTTTTCTAGTTTCTTGAAACATTGTTTTATTTTCTTGCAAGTTATGATGGTGTTCATATTTCACAAGGCTGAACGATACAGGGTTTCTCAAATGTGCACTTGGTGTAGATGGATATTAACTGTTAACTGTGACGTTGAGAACTGGAGCTGCTAACTGACCCTATGCATTTGTCTTCTGCATAGAATGTTGTAACAGTGCTAATTTCTAAGCAGCCGAATTTGTGAGAAGGTCCACAGCACTAATCTGCACCTCAGTGTTGCCTTGATATTAAAAAAACGTGAGCATGTACTCAGGACACATGCACTTGATTTATGAACTTCCCAGGAGCACGTTTATGTGTGGCTCGCCGATGGTTTGACTTATGGGATGAAGCATTTGATTTCTGTATGTGTGCTTGTGAGACACTCATTTTTACCCTATTAAGAGTTGTTGAGTGCAGAACAAGACATTTAAAAAGGAAGAGTAACATTTGGAGATTTTTAAATGGAAGCTTTAAATTACTACTTGCTTCTGGTTTTTTTTTTTTTTTTTTTCTAGTTTTAGAAAAAACAAGGAAGAATCTCTCTTCATTAAGTTGGAATAGTCAGATTTCAGTGTTTGGGTGATGGTATTAAAATCGGTGTTTTAATGGTAGATGAAAATGATTCTGTTCTGTTGGATTCACATCCTGAATAAATGTTTCTACACAATTAGAGTCTATAACAGACTAAACCAGCATAGTGGTGGTGTGTGTGTGTGTGTTTTTTTCTTTTGCCTGAAAGAACAGCTTCAAGCCTTGGGAAAGAATTTGTTTTTGCCCTGTGGAGGGTCAGAAACATCTGCTTCAGGTATAGTTTACAAGTGTTACTTATTAACCCATGAGCCAAAAACCCAGATGAGGAGCTCTATTGAAAACTACACATTCCATGTTTTTATAAATGTATATTAAGATGAATTCCACATACCTATTATTTGGATTTCTGGCAGCCAGAACTTCTACAAGGAATTTGTGTTTTTAAAAATGAATGTAAAATTAATTTTTATTTTCTGGTACCAGAGTTTTGCTGTATATGAAGAAATCCTGCTCATGGGCAGAAAGCAAAGTTTTCAAAGGAACCTCATCTCCATATGGTTTTACTCGATAATCCTTTATCCACCATCTTCAGCTCTCATTCCTTTGCTTTCTTGCCTGTGGCTACATTTCTATCTCTGCATCAATTAGCACAGTGATTTATACAACAAGCAAGCAGTTTAGAGGTAATGGTACACAATTAACATCTCATTCCACCATAAAGGGTATGCTAAATACCCCAGTCATTGCTTTCTCTGCCTGGAATTGAAATAAGTGTTTGTCCTAATTCATATGCTATCTGATGTGAAGTGGGCCTGCTTTGTACCGCACTACACCATTAATCTAATTATAGATAGCTGCAAATGAAGTGCTGTCTGAGCTGGGAGATTGAAGAAAATAGCCTTTTGTCATTTAGCATGACTCTGTGAAGCAAGATCACACTTTACAGGGCAATACTACAAAATGGAAATCTCAATAATATTGCTGCCTGTTGCATCTTTTCTAATTACAACAACATTGTAAACACAACTGGGCGCTGACATAAATAGAGCTGTAGATATGCTGTCATGCGGGTTGTAGGAGAAAGTCCTCCGAGTGCTGTTGGATTAAATGATGCATCCTGATTGACAGCTACCTTGAGACTGCACTGATGGAGTTGTCACAGCATTATGCTAACAGGCTGTTCCAGCGACTGCAGCTGTGGGAGGCTGTGGTTCGCCCTGCGCCTTAGCTGCTGCCTGTTCATGTCCGTTCCTTCGCCTGGGCTGCACCTCCAAAGGAAGGACAGCTGCAGGCTTCAATTCTGTGTACTGTCACTGTCGTGTGTTGGAGATTGGTGGTGGTGGTTTAGCTCAGATATCAGGCCACTGGGCCCTGTGCGGAAGCAGAGGGAAATTATTTTGTATGGCTCCGAACCTTGCTATGTTTTTCCTCAAGTGATAATTGTGTACCCGACAGAGAATTTAGGAGAGGAGAACGTGGTCGAATTACAAGTCTCATTCCACTAAAGTGTTTTAATTTATATCTAGTTTTTCTCTGCTTTTCTGACATGCCAGTGTTTTTAAAGATGCATCATTTTTGCATTTCACCCTTTCCATCACTTAAAAAACACTGACACTGCCGGGCGCGGTGGCTCAAGCCTGTAATCCCAGCACTTTGGGAGGCCGAGACGGGCGGATCACGAGGTCAGGAGATCGAGACCATCCTGGCTAACATGGTGAAACCCCGTCTCTACTAAAAAGTGCAAAAAACTAGCCGGGCGAGGTGGCGGGCGCCTGTAGTCCCAGCTACCTACTTGGGAGGCTGAGGCAGGAGAACGGCGTAAACCCGGGAGGCGGAGCTTGCAGTGAGCTGAGATCCGGCCACTGCACCCCAGCCTGGGCAACAGAGCGAGACTCCGTCTCAAAAAAAAAAAAAAAGAAAAAAGAAAAAAACAAAAAACACTGACACTATTTCCCTAGCTCTGAGTTAGGACAGTAGACCTTTAGGGGAATATTTGAGTGTCACTCTCACTGCCACGCTGTGGAAATGAGACAGATTAATGTTGGAGACCTTTGGGGCTAGAAGGTGTAAAACCTTGACTAGGAAGAGAGAGCCTAATGTTTGGAAGTGTCTGCCACCTTACTTAGTGAGGGTTGCGTGGACAGTATTTGGCCAGTGCTTCAAGATAACTGATGCACAGTGATTTACAGTCAAAGATAGCACCTGCCCTTGAGTTGGTGTTGACGGAGATGGCAGCAGTTGAGGACATGAAAGAACATTAACAGTCAGTCAACTGTACGTGTCCTAATTGTTACTGGAAGAATGAATTAGAAATGGAAACTGGAAGTGAGCCCACTTGAAGAGGAACAGAGGTTGACAGTGGCACCGGAGGCTCTGAAATCACAGCTGAAAACTGTACAGCAAACTGCAAGCGCTCACCTCGGGAGCAGCCACAGACCTCGGAATCATTGCAGCACATTAGCGCATGGGGTCTGCAGAATTACATTACTGGTATTTCCATAGGCTGTGGAAAGAAGTGGGTGGATTTAGCACTGTAAGGAGGTGCAGTACTATACAAACACAGACGCCTCCAGGGTGGTATTCTGTGTACCCGTCAGAGTGGAGTGTGTCTCGGGGTGGGTGATTCTTCGCTGTCGTTGGGGTGCTGAGTTCTGGGGTGCTGGGGCGCAGGCACACATGCCCAGTTACAGGATGCTTTTCTGAATGAGGTCCAGTGATAATGTACCTCTCTCACCCGGACTGTGACTAGCCGCCGCCTCCTGCAGCAACCACTCTCAGCCCCAGCCTTTCATCAGGCCCATGGAAGAGCTGCGTGTCAATTTTAAAAACAGTCCCACTGGAGTTTCTTATCATTGTCCAGCTCTTGTGGCTTTCTTCCTGACCCTTTCATGTCAGCTGTGACTCCTTTTCTGTCTTCTAAATTTTCGGGAGGAATTTTCTTGTTAGACATGGTTTCACACTGCAGAGGTCATAAAATTAATTTGCTTAGAGACCAGGGTGGGGGTCACTTTTCCATCACTGGGTCATTAGATAACACCTAATTCCCTCCCATTACTGTCGTGTGTGGGTTGAGGAGTCCCACCGGGCCAAGTCCAGAGAGCACCTGTTCTGTTCTCACTTATGTGGTGAGCTGTTTTTCGAGAACTTTTTTTTCATTTGGCTGTGTGGTCTGGAGAATGTTCCTGAGCCAGCGGAGTGAAGGAGTGAAGTTCCACGCACTGACCAGCCCTGAGCTCATTGGAGCGGATCATCTTCCGGCTCCGTGGCAGCCCAGCCCCACCCACAGGCAGCTGCCTGTCACCCATGCTGGCATTTTCCTCACCCTACCCAGGCAGTGGGAAAACCTGGCTGCTGCTGGGATCCTGCTACTCTGTCCTGTCCACGAGCCTTCAGAGTCTTTGATTCCTGCCCTCAGACATCAACTTTGTGATTTATCTGCTTGAAAACAACCACAAAAACTTAAAATCAAAACTCTCTAGGGGAGTTTCGCACAACTGCTGAGGAATAGTTAAATGCCCACGGTGAAACCAAGCTTGTACCCTGCGGTCCAGGTAGGGGCACGTTCCTGAAGTCTCACAAAACATTGGCTGCTCTGTGCCCCCGAAGAATCCAGAGACGCCAATAAATAGTAGTTTTGATCATCAGCTTTGGAAAGTCCTGGGGTACATTCTTAAATGACTTCTCTTCTGGGGCATCAAAAAGCTTTTACGGTTCTCGCCAGGCGGTTCATTCTGATGGACCCATGTGCTGCACCCCGCTTGGGCCCCATCCCGGCACGCGCCCCGTGCGGCACAGCACAGGCCAGCTGAGAGGTTGTTTTAAGAAGGCGTGTTTGCGTGGTACACTCACGGGGTCAGGACAACATCAAAGGTAATCTTAAAAAGAGAATCTCGCTCTGCCTTCTCTTTTTATATTCAGAAAGGTCATTTCTAAACCAACTATTTGCACCAAGGCCTCTCTGGAGGAGTTTACCCCGTTGTTATTTTTACTTGCTATTACAATAAGTCACTTATCCCCCAAACAGATTTAAGAACAATAAACAAATACAAAAGGAAAAGGAACATCTCATCAGTAACAAAGACTGCATCTGAAGGCATTGAGTTTGTGACTCTTTTACATCTCTTTCCAAGCAAAGCAGGAGTCCTACAGAGAAAGGAATCTGAAAGATGAAAATTATAAAAATAGTAAAAGGATCCAGTGTTAGTCAGAATCTTGTAATTTCTGGGGAGAAATGAAGCTAAATACAGTCTTAGCACTTTGTTCATATGCAGGCTGATCTGTGATATAACTAAACTTAGTTCTGGAGTATATCCACTGTGGTGAAATGTGGTATAAATCATATTCTCAATGTATGAAGACACTTTTCCTGGATTTAGGCTTCACATTTTGAAGTTGAATTCTGCAAAACAAGAAAAAAAACAGATCTGTGTGCTACACTGAAAACTGAACGAGGCACGTTGCAAATCAGTCGTATAGAAGGCGCAGCTCAGGGCGATACCAACTAGAAAAGTAACTTTTTTTGTTGAGTCTGATGCCTCTAGTGATGTTGGATTTTTTCCCTTACGGCAGACAGCACAGATACAAAAACTGCAATTTGGTCCAATTATAGTCCCCTGTGTCCCTCCACACCCTCCCCCATGGATTTAATGAAGGACTTGGAGGTACAATTCATCACTGATAAACAGTCCCTCAGCCCAGAATGTGTGTTAGACTGACAGCAGCATGCACTCTCCTCGCTTTTTCCGTCACCACTTATGACTCAGATGAATTTTAATAGGAGCAAAAAGCTTTTATTTGCACTGTAATTTCACTTAAGGATCATATCCTTCAGAAACTGGCAGACGCTTCTATGCCTTGATTGCAAAACACACACTCAGGAGTAAGGAAACACGCAAAAGATGTTATTATTCAACCTGTCACAGTGTCGCAAATCCACTTGGAACTTGGGCCATCAAAGCTCTCCCCCCACCCCTTTCAGTAGGCCCTGTGAAGAGGCACTTACAGATTCCCGCCATTCCCATACAGAATTAAAGGGGGAATTATATTTTGTTTTTGCATCCCTGCCATCATGATGCCCACAGGAGGCTTTGAGTTACAGCAGGTTGTTGTTTTTTGTTTTTTGGGTTTTTTTTTTTTTTTTTTTTTTTTTTTTTTTGAAGAAAATGGAGCTGTCTCACTGCTGGTTTCTTACCCAAGAGAAATCAGACCTGGTAGGGATCCAGAACCTTCGGGTGGTGGTTCCAATTTCACCGAGAGACACTTCCTCAAACCATTTTATCTTTTTTCTGTTTGGATAGACCAAATTGTGGCTCATAGATTTATTCACGGAGAGGATAGGAATTCTTTTTTTTTAAATGTTCTGCTTCACTGAACTGCCCTGAATACGCCCGGTTATTTGAGAGCCACCTACAGAAGGTGCCGTGAATATACTTGTCTGTGTGTATTTTCCATCAGTGTTTATAACATCTTGATGTTATTGTCTCTTAGTGCAGAAGGCATTCTCATTATCTTGCGTCTTTTCCTGACCATCTTGTTACATCAGAAAGACTATGTAGTGCCTTTAAGAAAAGCCAGCTTTTTTAGTCATGAATATAGCAGTTTTTGTCACTGAAAAAATGGAATTTCAAATACTATGTTGCCCAAAATGAACACTGAACCCCATTGTCTTAACTTACTGATACATAGCGCAGCCGCTCTTGGAGGGCTGTGGGAAGCTGCGACAGCCATCTGCTGCCATCTACTGGCGCCTGTCCACACGTCACCTCCTCCATCCCCCGGGCCTGCCCAGCTCACGGGATTTTCCTTGATGGGGATAAGTTTGTAGGCGGTGAAGGGAATACAAGTAAAATTATCAGTTTTCTTTATAAGGTTTTGAGATGTTTTTCTTAAAGATGCAGGATGATATTTGTCAATGATTAATATTAATAACTGGAATAGTCCTTATTTCAAGATATTTCTGAAATAACTAGCTCACAATATATGACAGGAACAAATATATTTTGATGTGCGCAGCAATTGAGAACCATTTGAATTTAAGGCTGTTACTGTAATTTGAATTTAAAAGCTAAAAATTGATTTAGAATGGATGTTACTTTTGAGGAAAAGTTCATTTGAACTCATTTATGGTTTCGTTTTGTTTTTCCCTTCAGTACAAGGTGAATATCTTAACCAAACTCGCCGCAGAATTGAACAAATTTATGCTGGAAAAAGTGACCGAGGACACAAGCAGTGTTCTGCGTTCCCCAATGCCCGGAGTGGTGGTGGCCGTCTCTGTCAAGCCTGGAGACACGGTAAGGGCTGTGTGTATCTCTGCAGGACATGCTGGTCTCAGACTTCCCCCTCCAGAACGATGGCTGACGGAACAGCACGATTCAGCTCTTTGCAGTTGTTTCTTAACTGACCTCCAGCAAACAGCAAAGTCGATTTTGTGTGTTGTCAACCTGTTTCACGTTTGCATTAGGTTTGTGCCAGGACCCTCAGCACTTCCCCTCCCAAATGATCTGGGAGTGGAGCAGAAAGGCGACCAGATTCATTCTGTCATTTTGCAAATGCAGTGTTTTGGGAAGTACTTGCCCTAAAAGTACTCTCTAGTATGCTGTGCTCAAAGCATCCCTGAAGATAGTCATGCCAGGGAATAAGACTCTGATGAGGAACTTTTTGCATGATTTTCTTGGAACAAATGTCTAACTGGGAAGAAGAGCGGAGGAAAGGTTAATTCTGCAATCTGTACAGTACCAGAGCACTTCCGTTAGTTGGTAAATGAAATGTAGCATCACAGTTTGAAGTTTTTCATCTTGATCTTGTGACATTAAAGCACAAATCAAAGCTGTATTATTTCCTTGAGGTAACCTACTATGGATGAATTGGTAGGATGCACACATTTTCTTAGAACATGGATAGAAATCTCTACTGATGAGCAGCAGAAGTGAAAAGAAAACAATTTAGGAGGCACCCAGAAGGTTTCCGGGGACACTGAAATACTTGCATTTTTATTCACGTGCAGGAAAATAGCAGCCAGACGTGACTGTCTCTCATGGATGAGGTGGTGATTCCATTTTGTATCTCAGGTCACTGGGGCTTACATTTTAATGCCTCCTGATTTCTCAATTAGTATAGATAAAATATCCGCTAACACTGAGGAAAAAATCAGGTAGTTGGCATTGGCTTCTAGAAAAATATTTGCCATAAATGTGAATATTAAGAAAACATGATCAGTTTTAGTTGTTTGAATGATCAGCCCTGAAACTAATATGCGAGGTTAGAAAAACGACTTAAAGTTTGCTTTACTTGGTGATACAGAAATAGAACTATCCGCTTTTTCAGAAAGGCGTGAAAGAGGCTGCGTGGCTGTGCATTGCTGTTTGCTTTGAAAGCATCGACTCCTGGAAGAAAGCCCTCCTTAAGACTGTCTAATGCCCACGTGTTAAGGATTTGGGAGAGGCCGTAAGAAAAATTACGTGTGTGTGTGGTGTGTAAAATTCAGGGAGGGCATCTTCCGTCTCCAGAATTAGGGTCATCAGAGGATAGTCTCTTGGCCTTGGCATAAAGAATTGTTCACTTGCACATGACATTATCAGAGCTGTCAGTGGAATCTTCTAGTGCTAGATACGTAGGTTGGTAAACAATGTAAGGGTTTTGTTTCATTTTTCTTAAGTTTTTTTCTGGAAGTCATATAGTCTGCATACTGCCAGCCTGAGCTTGTCACTCCTAATTATGTGGCTTTAATTATAAAATTCTGTGTGTGTGTGTGTTTCAAGTAAATGTTTTCCTTAAATCCTCTTCTAACACCTGAATCCAAACCGCAGTGGAGAGAGGGAGGGCAGGGAGGAGGGAGACCACTCCTGCCTCAAGCCTGGAGGGCAAGGGGTTGCGACTGCAGCCCTGGCCCATCAGCCCAGCGGCCCTCAAGGAGGCTGCTCAGAGGCAGGAAACGGGGCGCTCCCAAGGCCAGATGAGCGCAGCCTTCTGGTTTCTTAACAGCTGCTGGCTCCTGATCTGACTTTCCCACATACAGAAAGGGTCTGGCCTTTGTACATTCCATTTCCTGGTTGATAATTGAATGTAGAAAAGCAAGGCATTTCGTAAATGGGAACAATGTGATATCAGACCTCGGTTCATTGATGTAGCTCAGATATTAAAAACACCCACCAATAATTAAATGTGTGTACTCATTAAGAATGGTTTGAGAACTGTTAAAAATATATTACTGCAGAGCAATGGGGCCAATATTTTATGCATTCCTTTAAAGTCAGAGTACCTGAGGGGCACACGTAGTGAACAGGCTCAGGACCTCGGGATCTGTCAGCATGCTCCTAAGTTCTGTTTGCGGGGCCTGCTCAGGTGGGGTGTATACTTGCTTTTATTTGTCTTTTTTGGTACTTGCAGAACTTCCTTTCATATTCTGTGCCATTGTGTTTTGATGAAACGGTCTTTTCACTTGAATTACTGCTTGTGAAAAATGTCCCAAACCACTAATACCGAAACCCAGTGCAGCCCGAGAAGTTTCATCGCCGGCTCTTAGAACAACTTCTATAGTTAAATTCTGCTTAGTGTAATTAAAACACAAGAAGCTTCCTTGGACCAGAGGCACGGCACTTACTTGAGGCCATTGTGAGAAAACACTACTTGTCATGTTGAAGTTTTGCGGTTTTAAATGATTTTAACACCGCGGGGGCATGTTGTGAGCCCCGCCCCCCGCACTAACAATAGCCGAAGGAGGTTCCCCTTTTATGGCTGGGAAGATAATGGAGTCAATCTCCTTAGTGTATTTTCAAGGAAAATAAGGACCCAAAAACAACTAAGGGCCTTACAAGTATTCTGTTTTTCTCTGAAATGTTACTTTTCATTTTTTAAATTCCAGTAATCTATCATGTTTCTGTTTAGCTGAAGTAAAACTTGACCAATCTTAGAATGGTGGGCCTGGCAATAAGTTCTAAAAAAGTATCACATAAATCGTAATTAACAAATCTGTTTTGTGAAGTAAACAATTTGAACACAGTTTAAAAACCTCAGGAAGAAGAGATGTGCGATGGCTGTTGAGAAGTAATGAATCCACTTGGGGGACTTCATGTGCCAAGGCCTGTGAACTGATTCATTTGAAACACCCTACCCTAAACACAGAAGCTGTGTTTTATTTGAAAGGTTTCTATAGGGTTCACACAGCAAAAGTTCCTGATAACTTTTTCAGTGTCTATTATATACTGTTTAACATTAGATGTGGCAGGTCACATTTGAAATGATTGTGTAATAGTTTTTTTGAACACGTGGTGAGAGGATCTTAATACACAGTAAAATGCAGGGAAGCAAACAAATCAATAAGAAAGTACACTGGATGATTAAAGTCAGGAATCACTAATATAATTTAGGAAACAACTCATAGAATAAATCTTATGTGCCTTT